TCTGCTTTCTTCCTCCCAGAATTCAGTTCTGTCTTCTCCGGCTACCTAAGTTCTGCCCTATCAGGCCAAGCAGTTTCTTTATTGATTAACCAATGAAAGCAACACCTCCTACACTGCCTTCATCTGACAAACTAAAAGTTTTTGCTGTATACCAAGGAAACCAGACACAGACGCCAAGCGGAGTGGTTCCCTCACTAGGTGAGCAAACTGACATTGCTTCTTTCTTTGTGCTCTGGACACCCAAGCCAGTGGCCTGCCATCAATGGGGGAGCCTAGCACCGTGCTGAAGAAGTATCACCTGTCACTGGTAAAAGTGCCTTGAGATTTCCTGAATGAACCTGATTCTCAGCAGCCGGTCTGTTGCCAGCCCTGTCTGCTGCCCAGTCTTGATTGTTGAGCTTGCATGTGATATGCAGAAGTCTCCCAGAATGGCTGTACACGTGTAAGCATCTTCTTGTGCAGTGCTCTTGGTTTAGGTTTTGAAGTTTCTCTGTTCCAAAGAACAGAGCTTAAGTTTTGAATACGGCTTTCTAGAAAATTCTTCCAACTCAGTTTCAATCTAGCCATGAAAATAAAGTTAAGTACCTTGCTTCATTTTCCTCAATGGACCTACTGCAATCTTAAAAATTCCTCTTGGGATATCTGCCCAGCTTTCCTTACAAACTCACAAGGCATTCAGTTCCTCCACGCCATCCATCCCCTAACTGTCCTCCTTTCTCCTTTTTTACCTCTCAAGTCTCCACAGTATGGTAACTGTGTACCAAACACTGCTGTATAGGAGGCTGGCAATGTGCTCATTCACTGGCCCTGTGGAAGCCTCATGCCAAGACTTGTTTTCTTCAAAACCACCCTACCAATCTGCTGCTAGACTGTGGAATGAATTCTGGATGAAATGAGGGTTTGTCTCTCAGGAATTCTTTCCTTCAGTTACCACGACCCAGTCTCTGAAAAGAGCTGCTTCCTGTTGTGGTTTGGACTCCATGTGTAGGAGACCCTGGCCTAGCCTGGTGTTAAGTTGGAAAATTTGAGATGTACCATTGGGAGATCTCAATCTGTCTTATATCCCAGCCATAAGGGGAATATTCCACCATGGTGTGTTTCTGCTTCGCCACTCTCGGGTCAAATTCTTTAACAACCTCTTGTTTCTTGTCACATTATTACATACTCTACAGCCTTTGTCAATCTCCGCCTATCTCTACATCTCACATTTCCACAAATACACCCCTCCCCAGTGTGTGTGTGGGGGGTCTGTTTTGTATAAATGCATGTAAAATGATATCTGATGTGTTTGAATTGCATTTCATCAGTGATTGTGACATTGAGCACCTTTTCATATTATGAATTTTGTGTACACACCACTCCTATCTAAATATTCAATAAGTTCTTTTGTGCATTGTAAAAACTGGGTATTGAACGTCTCGAGCTTTTTCATCTTCTCATTCTGTCTTTGAACAGGTGCTTAACTCTTATTAAGTCCCATTGTGTTAACATTTTAAGGTTGTTTGGCAAATCTTTACCTACTCTGAAGTCATGAAGATACCCTGCATTTTTGCTTTTATTTTATGTTCAGATCTCTATCTGTCCTGAAATACGTTCAGTCAAGGACAGAGAGAATTAAGGTTCAATTTTGTTCAGATACAACCAGTTCTTCCAGTAAAATGTGCATATTTGGAGTTAGGGAAATGACTCAGAAGATAAAGTGCTTGACTTTAATGTGAGGCCTAGGACTCACATTAAAGCCAGGTTAGTGCAGGGGCCTGTGTGTAGTCTCGGTGTGTGGAAGGTAGAGGGGGAACTCCCTGTAAACTTTTGGTTTCCTTGAGGCATTGAACTGGTCATTTAGCGCATGGCCTGGTTTTTGTTATAGTTGCCTCTTTGCACTTAAGTCAATAGTACAATAATTTTGAATTAGTACACATCCTCCAGAATTAATTTTCAAATTGTCTTATCACCTAAAAAAGGTCAGCTACAGCAAACCCTAGAAACTTCCCAGCACTCAGTTTGAGATGCAGCTTCTTGGCAGCCTTGTCACATCTGTTCTGTGCCCAATTTCAGTTACAAACTGCAGCCAGTGCCTCAACCTCATTCTCATACTGCCACACATATGCACAGCATAACCCCACTTTTATAATTTTTCATTTATGTATTTTGGGTTTTTTTGTCCTGGAACTTCCTCTGTACACCAAGCTGGCCTCAAACTCACTGAGATCCGCCTGCCTCTGCCCTTCAAGTGCTGGGATTAAAGGCGTGCGCCACCACTGCCTTGTGGCTTATGTGTGGAAGCTCTTTATGATGAGCCATGTCCCGATAAGGTACCTTCAGGTACCACATAACACTACATTTGGGCAAAATCCCTGAACAGAACAAGCCCATTCTATAATGAGTTGGTAATGTAATGTATTGAGTACTGTGTGTCTGTTTGTTTGTATGTGGTGGTGGTAGGGTCTCATAACCCTGCGATCTCATATAACCCTGGATCACAGAAATCCATCTCCTTAGTGCTGTAATTAAAGACGTGCACAACCACGCTGCCTGGCCTGAATAGTTTGATGTAGCTTAAAGTTGTATCATCAGAAGTAATAGTAACTTGTACAAAGCAACAAATAACTGGGGGTGGGGGTGTAGAGGGCAGGATTCTATACAGATAAATATGCTGAGATGTACAACTTTCATCTCATAAACTCAGTTGTCAAGCCATCTCTATGAAGGCACACATTAAGTATGTCACATCAAAGAATCCTGAACTGAGATCGAGAGTCAGAAGGCTATCAGATGTTGAGGAACCTCAGGGCCCTCACTTTAGATTGGGATCCTTGGAGCCTTTAAGTTGTTTTCCATATTCTTTGAGGGTCTCATGAAGCCCTTTGGTAGACAGATCCTGTAACTGAGAGGCTTGGTGACAGGCCAATGGTCCATCTCGCTCTCTTGCCGTCTTCATTCTCTGGGCATCCATAGTTTTTGCTGTTTGGGCACTAAATAAAAGCTGCTGTGAATGTCCAAGTGCAACTGTCTTGGACAGTTTGGGTCCCTTGGCTGAATAGCAGGGAGTGGTTTGGTTTTTGTTTTTGTTTGTTTGTTTGTGACAGGGTTTCTCTGTGACTTTGGAGACTGTCCTGGAACTAGCTCTTGTAGACCAAGCTGATCTCGAACTCAGAGATCCGCCTGCCTCTGCCTCCTGAGTGCTGGGATTAAAGGTGTGCGAAGCCACCACCACCTGGCCGTGGTTTGGTTTTGTAAGACTGGATCTGTGCTGTACTCTGCTATGCCCCCCACAAATGAGCTTCCCTTCACTCAGCCATATCTGTGAGCTGGTTGCTATTCTTCCTGATGCCACCAACTTTTCTCCCCTTGAACTTCAAATTTGCTTTCTCTGTCTAAGGTAGGATCACTAAGAAATTAATCTCTATTACAGATGACTGACCACTGCTTATTAAATTTCCAAGTAATTTGGTAGCATACCATACACATTCTATGTTTTCATCTTTAGACATTTTAAAACAATGTTTTAATTTTTTCTTTGACCAGCAAGTGAAAGTATCAGTTTTAAACTATTGGAGGGTTTTATAGTTCGTTTTTTACATTAATTATAAACTGACTGGCCTATTAGCTCAGGCTTCATATTAACTCATAACTTCTGTTAGCCCATAATACTTATCTGTGTTCGCCATGTTACATGGCTCGGTACATTTTTGGTGAGGCAATGAGATCTTGCTTCCTGTGTCTGGATGATGACTGTAGACTGATCCTTCTTCCCAGAATTCTCCTGTTCTTTATAGTATTTTTATTTTGACACCTTGGACATATGTACATGCTGTGGTGTTGAGTGGAGTGTTCCCAAACCAGATCAACCTAGTGATATTGTGTATGTTAAGGTGTCAGTACCATGTTTTGTGTTTTGAAAGGCATGCTGAAATCTCACAGTAACTGTAGATATGCTTGTTGAAGTTCCTAGTTTTTGGCAGCATGTATTTGGGATTCTTTGGGTAGATGAATTGAGCCTTTGTCATTGGGCAAGAACCTTCATCAGTTCCCATATGGATGTCCATTAACTGCAGTGTCTGCTGCCCATTCATTTTTACAGTGAGTGTCTTATAGGTAGCCGGCAGTTGGTCTCGCATTCTTATCCAGTCTAGCCTTCTAAAGGAAACCTTATATTCAGTAACAATATTTAACATGGCCATTGCTATTGCTGGGTTAAATCCACTCACTGCCCTTTGCTTCCTTTTCCTTAAGTCTATGACACAGATTTAGATCTAGGATACAGACCACAGATGTTAAATGGGGTTTAAATGGTGTGCTTTGAGATAACATCACTGAGCTTCTGCTATATGAGATTGTACCTAAGAAATAGTAATTTGAGGCAGGGAGAATCACCTTGTATTTTCATGCTTGAGTATTTACAGACTTTTATGAAATTTTTCTCTAGCTGAGATGCTTACCAATTTTAGAAAAGAGTGTCACAGGCAGACTGCTGTATCCAAATTCACTCAGGTCAAGGTAAGAAACTGCCACTGAAATTAGCAACTGCTGTCTGTCTAGCTTAGTGAAGTATTTCCCATCATATTCCTAGGTCATCCAGACCACAGGCCGGCCATACGGCAAGTCAGAAGATGGGATACTGTGGGATAATGCTCTTGTACAATGTAAAGATTTATCACGCGTTGGTTTAATAAAGCACTGACTAGCCAGTAGCTAGGCAGGAAGTATAGGCAGAGCAACCAGCTAAGAGAATTCTGGAAAGAGGAAAGTCAGAGTCACCAGCCAGATGCAGAGGAAGCAAGATGAGAATGGCTTAATGAGAAAAGGTAAACATATGGCTAAACACAGATAAGAATTATGAGTTAATTTATATTGTAAGAGCTAGTGAGTAATAAGCCTGAGCTAATAGGCCAAACAGTTTATTAATTAATATAAGCCTCTGTGTTTCTTTGGGACTGAACATCTGCAGGACCAGACAGAACCGAAACTTCCATCTATACTGGAAGAGACATAAAACATAGTTAAATGATCAAAAAGATCCTTTATTAAGTCATTAAAATAATTTATAACAGTTAAATGCCTCTTAAATATACACGATACCTTCTGAAGCTAAAAGTAATTAATATGCATTCAACCAGTTTTAAAATCTATTAGAAACATTAAACAAATGATAGTAGAAAAAAAAATCTCCTATGAAGTCCTCTATGAAAGGAAATTGTAACAAGTTCCCGATTAGGCAGAAACCATTCCCTCTCCAAAGGAGAATGAGAGAAACGTAAATAAATACAAATGTCTGCTTCCAGGGTTTGTACTAATAGACCCAAATCTTTATATTTATTTTGTTTTCCCTGGATAAACAAGAATCCCTTAGCAGTAGCTCAGAAATAATCCAAGTCCCAGTGAAGCACCTTCTGCTCCTGTGATGGTGACCGCCTACCAAGGTTCTTGTCTGTTGGGGTCAGCAGCATCCTTCATAAAGCACCTTGATTTATGGCAGCTGTGACAAAATCTGGCAAAGTATGTTGTCTCCAGCCAGGGCCCACCTTAACCTTCTAGGCGCCACTGTTGGGAGGAAGAGCCATCACAGATGGCCATGCCAACAGAGCCCTTCTGATCCATCAGGTCCACCACTCTTAGGCACTGTCCAACAGACACTTGGTATAGCCTATTGTTCTTCTGGAAGAAAAAAAAAAGACTTTTTATTTAAAAACAAACATTCCTGCAGCATGCAGGAAAGATGTAGAACCATTAGGACTAGTTAAAGCCCTTGTTTATAAGCAAGAGCCTCACCCCAAAGGTCCACTGCTGAGATCCTCCTGACCCATGGCACTTCATGAGTCGAGGTGGGTCTGAAGAGCGAGTTTCTGACATATCGAGGCAAAGAAGGTTGTTTAAGATCAATTCATGTTCTTCATTATAAATCCAGATCTAGTGATAAAAACAAAAAGATTTAAAAAGAAAACACACAAGTCTTGCTTTAGGTACTGAATGAGGGCCTGGATAATACTTTACAATGTGGTTTTCCCAGCAGGCACACTGGTGAAAGCACTCCCTCAACTATCTGAATCGGTGAACTGGGAGATGAAGGAGGCCAAAAGATGTCACTGGGGAGTGTTCTGATTTAACTGAATAAAAGTGATTGTGTCACTGTAGATCATTTCCAGTTTCCTTAGTTCAGAGACCTATAAAGCTTTGCGGAGCCACAAGAGGTGGACAAGTGCATGTAAAGCTGATTACTACCACAGCGCTCATCTGCTGGGTGATGATGTGCATAAGCTGTTCCAGTCCAGCCCTTCTGTAAATACCACACCCCAATTCCAGCTCACAATGTCTGCTGTGAGACCTGGGCCAGCCAACCTGAAGCAGGGTTTCCCTTGGGTGTGGATGCAAATAATCTTGGTTTCTGGCCCAGGCCTCAAACAAGATGAATACAGATGCAGTGAGAAAATTTCTCACAGGTGCCATCACAAAAGGAACTCCACCAGGGACTAGAAAGCAAGCCCTGCGTGAATCCTGTGCTGACCACTTGAAGCCAGTACGACTGAGGAACTGCACTGTTTATTATGCTTTGATTATAAGTAGCTATAGTATCAGCGTAATTCTGCATGGCTACAACTCAGTACATTTAAACCATTTAACTTGGGCAGTGGGGAGAAGGCACCTGCTGCCAAGCCCGATGACCTAAGTTCCATTCCTGTCCCCACGTGATCAGGACACACTGGCTGCTGTAGCTTGTCCTCTAACTACCATGTGTGCACTCACATAATAAATCGATATTTTGTTTTGTTTTTTAAGGCTGTATGTTCTAGAAATGTCCAAGTAAACATTCCATTTATCAAAAGACCCAAGTGTTTTTCCCTTCCCTGTGTGATAGCAGTGCACCAATGAAATGGGGTGACAGTCAACACAGGCCAGTCCTGACAGTCACTGTTAGGTTGTGCCGTCAAATAAGTAAGCCTGAAATTACAGTAACAAACTGAAATGTTATTTGCTTACATTTTAATATTTAATATTGAAAAGACAAACTAACTGGAATTAAGTAGATGGGGTGAACCAAAATTCTATTGAGATATCCTCTAATGAGTTGTAAAAATTGGTCAGAAAAATCTGACTGTTTCTCTACTGAGGACTTCAGGTTTGAAGATGGACACTCCCTACATCACAGTAAAAAAGCACAAAGGTCTAAATAATTAAAAGCAATGATCAGAGGCAGAGAACATGGAGAAGACAGAAGCAGTTACTTTAAATGATCTCTAGAGTCCCTTAAGAGAAGTCTGATGGTCTGCATCTGCCCACATGTGCTTTCCTTCTGCAGAGTGGCTATGCATTGGGAGGCATCACCCACCTGAGTCGGGTCTCCATAGTCACAGGCCTTAAGCAGCACCAGGCCTCCTTTCTGGCTGGAGCGGCCCTGGGCTACCAGGCATTTGCTGGTCTGCAAGTGGTAGAGCTGCAACAGAGAACAGTGTTCTTGAGGACTCCTATGCAGACATCTTGGTGCCTGAGAGATGTGTGCTTGGAATGGGAAACTTCCACAGGACCAAGTAAGAACCTAAGAGCTAAGATGAAGCCAGGCCTGATGACTTAGGCCTATAATCCCAGCACTCATGGAGCTGAAGCAGGAGGATCATGAATTTGAGGCCAACCTGTGCTACACAGCAAAACACTGTTTAACCTTTTTCTTTTTTAAAGTACACTATGTTTATGTTGACTTGGAAGTACAGAACCACCAAGACCTTCCAACAGTGACACCAAGATCAAGAATTATGCTGGAAGGGATTTCAACTATATGGACACAAAATACTTAATTTTTTTTACTTAGGAAAAAGACACAATAAACATCTTGGTGGTTGTTTTGGGGGTTTTATAAAGTAAACAAGGAGAAAAGTACTAGGCTCAATTCTGAAATACAAAAATTGGGAGATGTGCCTTAGGAGTTTCAACTTTCTGTCAGTGTGGGGGTATGCACAGGAGTGGGCAGGCACACCTGTATATGTGCATACTTGTACGAGCCTACCCCTTGTTCACTGAGGCACAGGGTCTCTCAAATAAACCAGAGCTCATTGGGCTTGCTCCAAGGATCCTGTCTGCCTTCCAAGCACTGGAATCACATGTGGATCACCAACTGCCAGGGTCTTCACTCTGAGTTGCAAAGCAAAGTGCTTTATCAACTGAGCCATCTCCCCAGCCTCAAATGCTAGTTTTTGAAATTATTCAGAAGAGCAGACCCCAAAAGCCATGAGCCCAAGGGGCTACAGTGTGCTTCAGCTAAGCTCTGAAGACTGCCAGTGCACTGGGTGTGAAGTTCACTGCATGTCACACCAACTTAACTGTCACCTCAATCTGTCTCAAGTCAGTTCCTCGAACTGAGACTGAACAGTAACAGCTGCGGTGTTTTTCTGCTCATCTGTCTCCCTCTGAGGGACTGTTTCAGGTCTCACACCGCCTTTGTCCCCATTGTGTCTCTACTCTTAGAAGCAGACACATAACCTACGTAAGGTCCCAGCCCCTCCAACACAGTAAGTACATCTTGACCTGGATGTAAACAGCAAACACATAAAAATTTTTAAGCTTTTCTACTTGAGTAGGGGAAAATCCCCAAAAGAATATACTTAAAACTAGATCGTTTATCACAGAACCTCAGAAAAACTTCCTGCTATGCTCCTCCCAACAAAACCCTCAGACAGGACTGCTGTCTCACCCGTCCACGCAGAAGGACTCTGGGCCGCTTGGGCCCTCTGTTGATGAAGATGGGCTGCTGAGGTTTGGCATTTGGGCCAGGTATTTGCATCTCAGGGTAAATATTGTCCAAATACCATTTGAATGATTGGCAGCCCAATTTCTTCCTCAATTCAACACGCTCACTGATATTTCCAAAGCTTTTGGTCTTCAAATCAGGTCTTAAGGAAAAGTACTGCTCCTAAGTTTAAAAAAAGAAAAATGTGGAAATATATTACACATTCTGTGAGGAAAACAGTCCTGTGTTTTCTTAATGTTAAAATCTCAATGGGAACTTTCCACATGCCTGGCACTAACCATTACATAAACGGTTACATATATTTGATTTCATAGAAGACAAACTGAAGGAAACTCTTAAGTCAGTGGATTTGGTGACCTGAAAGAAAATGGCCCCCAAAGGAATTTGGCACTAGTAAGAACTGAAACTTTTTTGGAGTGGTGTGGTCTTGTTGGAGGAAGTATGCCACTGTGGGGGTGGGCTTTGAGGTTTCAACTGACTTTGTATTGCCTGCAAGAAGATGTAGGACTCTCACTTCCCTCTCCAGCACCATGTCTGCCTGCAGGCTGTCTTGCTTCCTGCAATGATGATAATTGACTGAACCTCTGAACTGTAATCCACCCCAGTTAAATGTTTCCTTTATAAAAGTTAGCGTGGTCCTGGTGTCTTTTCGCAGCAACAGAACACAGCAGATTCTGTGTGAGATGAGTGACTTAAATTCTGGCCCTCTATTATTCTCAATATGAGCTGATGATCCATGAGTCCATGGATACCAACTAAAACTGAGCGAGCAGTGGTGGTGCACGCCTTTAACCCCAGCACTCAGGAGGCAGAGACAGGTGGATCTCTGTGAGTTCGAGGCCAACTACAAGAGCTAGTTCCAGTACAGGCCCCAGAGTTACAGAGAAACCGTGTCTCAGGAAGGAAGGACGGAAGGAAGGAAGGAAGGACGGACGGACGGACGGACGGACGGAAGGAAGGAAGGAAGGAAGGAAGGAAGGAAGGAAGGAAGGACGGACAGAAGGAAGGAAGGAAGGACAGAAGGAAGGACGGAAGGAAGGAAGGACGGACGGAAGGAAGGAAGGAAGGAAGGAAGGAAGGAAGAAAGAAAGAAAAAAAATTAAAACTGAGCCAGGCATGGTTGCCCGCACCTTTAATGTCAGCACTAGAGAGGCAGAAGTAGGCAAATCTCTCTGAGTTCAAAACCAGCCTGGTCTATGTAGCAGCTCCAGTCAGTCAAGACTACATGGTAAGACTATCTAAAAAACAGTACCACTAACAAAACCAAACAAACAAAAAACACAACACTTCTAATTTTTTAAATTCATTAGTAGAAACTTTTTTCAAAGACAGGGTTTCTCTGTGTAGCTCTGGTTGTCCTGAACTCGCTTTGTAGACCAGGCTGGCCTTGAACTCACAAATGACCACCTGTTTTAGCCTCCTGAGTGCTGGAGTTAAAAGCATGCCCCACCACCCCATCTAGAAACTCACTTTATCTGTCACAAATGTACATTTCCCCTGACATTGTGTGTTGCTTGCAAGTTTAGTCTATTGGAGGGTGCATGCCTTGGTGCACTCACAGCAGTCAGGCGACGACTCCCCACCTTTAGGTAGGGTTCTGGAATCCAGCTGGCTGTTGTACTTGTGTGGCAAACATATTTACCCACTGACCCATTTCACAGTTTGAAAAATGCAACTTCATGAAAAATGTAGTTGAAATAGAAGGAATATTTTTAAACTATTACAAATAATTAGTTATTCTTACATTAAATAGTTAATATAATAAAGTTATTATGTAGTTTCTAGATAGTGCAAATATGCAGCCCAGAATTAACCTCTAAATTAACATTCCTGGGACCACACTACACAGCAGCATGCCTAGCTTACAACGATGACATTTTAATTATAATATAAAATAAAAAATCATACCAGTGAGATTCACATTTGGTCTTGCTTCCTCTTTTCACACATGCAAGATTTCTGTAACATGTGTACTTATCTGAAAAACACTGGTCTGTGCCTGTACAGTTTTTCCAAAAACTGACACACTTCACTGCACAACGAAGTAATTTCTGATTTCATCAGGAAAGTTACATAGTGGGACACTTTCAAGCTCATAATGATGGGAGCTGTTTTGATTTGGAGACAGAATCTACTGTGTATCCCTGGCTGGCCTAGAACTCACAAGACTGGCCTTGAAACAAACACCAGCTGCCTCTGCTGGGTTTATCATTGACAAGCCTTGGCTCACTTTGAAAAGATGCCCAGAGTCACAGGCAAGTGCTTCTGGAGAACAGTGTAGCTCAGCCCTCAGCTCAAGCACTGTACTCCACAGGAAGCGTTCACGTGACTACTGACAAGACTTCGGACGACTGCTGTCTCTTCAGTGGCATTCTTTGCTGCTTCCTCGCTTAGGCATGCAATGTCTACTACACAGCAAACACAGTGTCTGTATTCATCTGACTGTGGAAATGAGCTAGACCCTGCAAACCTGAGTGGGTGGGCAGAACCTAGCAAGCCACATTGTGAGATCTCTGTCACACAGAGATAATAACAATCCACGACACTCTGGGTTAGGAGAGGGAGGGACAAACAGGCTTGGCATGCTCTGAGCCCATCTCTGCTCCCAGCTCCCTCCTCAGCACTCAGTCTGGGTATCTGCTGCTATTTACATTTACCTCACAGGGTTGTAGATGACTGTATATTCCCTTAGTCATCTTTTGTCTCCAAAATAAGAGGACAGGTACTTAGCCAGACATGCTAGTGCATGCACACCTGTAATCATGAAGGCACAAGGATGGAGTATCAGACCAACCCGTTCCAATGACAGTAGCAACTGCACAGAACTAATCACAGCAGCGTTTTAATAGGAATTAACATGTGGACAACAGGTAATGACCACACTGACAAAGTGTCCCTGAACAATGAGAAGTAGTGAAATGCTGAGACCAGCCTAAACAAAGACGCCAAGTGAAGGCCACAGAGATGGGCACACGTGTGCGAGAGGTCTAGAAGAGACTGTGGAGCCAAGAGACAGATGTGGTTCTCTAGGGCTTATGGATAGAGAGGTGACACATGAAGGATACAGTCTTTTTGTTGTAACAAATGCTTTAAAATTGGCACGCATATTATACTTGATAGAGAGGCTACAAAGAAAACAAAGCTATATAAGGTAGGAAAGAAATGGAGCAGGAATCCTGTGTGAGCAGTGAAGTCCAGTGGATGAGAAAGCACAGCCCAGTTCTGGGGTCCCTAACCCTGATGGGCCTAGAAGGATCAGCACACTAAAACAGAGCTGCTTCCGATGCTTACAGGGTCACACTCAAGAAAGTGAGTGTGAGAATCAAAACTGAGTGAATCCTGGGTGAAAAAAAGCCCAGAGAGAAATGGCGCAGCAATGAGGATCAACCAAAGAGAATGATGCATGAGTGAAATGAAAGGGCAGACAGACACTCACCTTGTACTCATCCAACCAGACATGTGCCAGCCTCAGGGAGTTGTGCGTCATGGTGTCCTGGCCTTCGGGAGATCCATATGGCCGCCGTTTTCGGAAAATGTGTCCTACTCTCGAGCAAGGGATGATGAAGAGCTTCCCGCCACACATCCAGATCTAGCCAGGAGCAAACCAACTGTCAGTTCAGACTGTGAAGCAGCACACGCACTCTATGAATGGTGGCTATGCAACTTACAGGTGTTTCTCCTACAAGATGTACTCAGAAAAAAAGTAGGGGCATTTAAAAATTAGGTCTTCCTAAAATGAAAAAGGCAGCAAATTCTGAAACATGTATCTGTTCCAGTGTCTGAATTGTGTTGTCATCCTTTGTTGTGTTCATGCACTCTCTCTTAAGGATTTAGGATAGGAATGCTTATTACCTGGTCTTCTGTTCTTCATGTACTTTCTTTTTTGTTTTGTTTGGTTTTTCGAGACAGGGTTTCTCTGTATCTTTGAAGCCTGTCCTGGCACTAGCTCTTGTAGACCTCCCGAGTTGGGATTAAAGGCGTGCACCCAGCCAATACACTTTCTTTTATACACTGTTTCTAAGAAACAGTGTTTTTAGTTAAAACTTGTTTTCCTTAAATGTTTGCGTGGTGGTCCTGCATATACACCACACATGCAGGAGAATGAACACTGAAGCCTGAAGTTAATATTGGGAATCTTGGGGCTGGAGAAATGGCTTGAGATGGTTCAGTGGTTAAGAGCACTGGGTACTTTTCCAGGTCTTCTGTTCCCAGTACCCACATGGTGGTTCACATCTATAGTGGGATCTGATGCCCTCTTCTGATGTCTAGGTGTACATGCAAACAAAACATCCATAAACATAACTACATAGATAGTCTGTCTTTTGAAGGGGTGTGAGACCTTATCACTCAGAAGCGAGGTCTCAATCAAACCCAGAGCTCACTAGTGTAGTAGGAAGACTGACTGTTCCCAGCTGCCCAGACTCGAAATAACCACATAGAAACTGTATTAATTATAATCACTGCTTGGCCTATTAGTTCTAGCTTCTTATTGGCTAACTCTTACATCTTACTTTAACCCATTTTTATTAATCTGTGTATTTTATTAATCTGTGTAAGTCACATGGCTGTGACTTACCAGCAAGGTTTTGTCTGGTGCCTGTCTCTGGCAGGCTACATGGCTTCTCCCTGACTCTGCCTTCTTTCTCCCAGCATTCAGTTTAGTTTTCCCCACCTAGCTCTACTCTGCCCTATCATAGGCCAAGCAAGCTTCTTTATTCATTAACCAATAAAACCAACACATATGCAGAAGAACTTCCCACACTACACTAGTATAGCTGGAGGGAGCGGGCAGCAGACCAGAGCCTTGACAGAAACCAGACCTTAGTTTCACTTCACTAGAATGGGACAGAGCTGAACAAGCAGATCTCATTAACCACAACTTACGGGTGACCATCAGCAAGCACCCTACAAGCCCTTCTGCTGGCTCAACAGAAGCCCCTCAGACTTCTGCAGGCTAAAGATAAATTTTCCTACCCTGCTGCTGAAAGGTCCCTAACCACTAGGACCTTCCACCAATCAGTCCCCATACTAACCTTTTCTCCACCAATCAGTCCAGATTAATCACTCCTCTCTGGCATTCCCCTAACTCTGCTTAAAAGGAGCTTGTGACCTTCTTTGGGGGTCGCTCTTTTGCCACCCCAACATTGGAATCAATAAAACTCTCTTGTTATTGCATACGTGGTCATTGGTCGTCTTTGGGAACTTTTTCTTGGACCCTAACAAGCCTCACTAGCCAGCTTGTCTGGGAATCCTTTGTCTGCATTCCAAGGCTAGAATTACAGATACGAGTAGCCATGTCAACCTGACATTTACACAGGCCCTAAGGATCCACACTTCTCTACTCTTGCTTGCAGGGCAAGTACTTTGACCACTGAGCCATCTCCCCAAATCCAAAAAGTAATTTTTCTAAATTATACAAGTTCAAAAGTACTTGGTTGCAGAGCTAGCAAGATGGCTCAGTGAGTAGTAAAAGTGCTCGCCACCAAGCCTGACGACTCAGGTTCAATCCCAGAACCCACACGGCAGAAGGAGAGAACCAACTCTGGTAAATTGCGCCCTGGCTTCCGCATGAGTGCCATACACAACAGCATGCATATTTTTCAAAAGAACATTCAGAAAGCTCTTTTAAAACACGCATGTGCCAGCTGGAGCCTTGGCCCAAACTGGCCCTGGAGAGGAAAGCAGCTGGGTCCCCACTTAAGGCTCAGCTCTCTAGGCCTTTGTCTGGGATGGAACAGCCCATTCCCCCTCCCCCACTCCCCAAGCCCCAGAACCAACCCCCACAGCATATCCTCTACATATCCGCTACCATTCTCCACCACATCTGGGACCACCGGAGCCTTCGCCCAGACTGCCCCTGGAGAGGAGCCCCAGAGACTTATCAGCATCCACTAGAGGCACGGTACTACATGCACCCAGAGGAAGATCAACCACCTAAGCCACAGGTCCCACCTTTACCGACTGGAGGAAGAGGGATCCCCTGAAGCACAGGCCCCACCTGCACCCACTGAAGGAAAAGATGGGCAGATAGGAGTGTAAGAACACATCCAACAACATAAAGACCAATACGGTACCACCAGAACTCAGTAGTTCTACAACAGGAAGAACTTTCCATCTTATCCTAACCCAGAAGAAGCAGAAGAAAACAATCTTCAATATAACTTTATGAAGAAGATAGAGACCCGTAAAGAAGAAATGAAAAATTCCCTTAAAGAAATGGGAGGAAAAGGAAAAAAAAATCAGTAAGAAATATCTTAAACCCAAGAAAAAAACAAACAGGTGAAGCAAACAGCTCAAACAGTACAGGACTTGAAAACGGATAGAGGGAATAAAGAAAACATAGAATTCTGAAGTGGAAAATCTGGGTAAAAGAAAAGGAACTAAGGATGCAATCATAACCAACACATTACAAGAGATGGAAGAGGAGAACATGAGGGAATGGGATACTCAAGAAGGGGAAATGAAAGTAACAAGAGAAAGAAAGAGATATCCTGATTAAGGGAGCCATTAAAGGGTTATGGAGAAACATGGCACTAGGGAAATTCCCAGGAATCCACAAGGATGACCCCAGCTAAGACTCTAAGCAACAGTGGAGAGGATGCCTAAATTGGCCTTCCCCTGTAATCAGACTGATGACTACCTTAATCATCATCATAGAACCTTCATCCAGCAACTGATGGAAGCAGATCCAGAGATCCACAGGGAAGCACTGGCTGAGCTACCTGAGACCAGCCCGAGAGAGGGAGAAGCAATAATTTATGAGTAAAGAGTTCAAGCCCATGATGGTGACACCCACAGAGACAGCTGACCTGAGCTAGTGAGAGCTCACCGACTCTGGACGGATAGCAGGTGAACCTGCATAGGAGCAAACCAGGCCCACTAAATGTGGGGGGCAGTTGTGAGTCTTAGATCATCTGTGGGGACACTGGCAGTGGGACCAGGGTTTATCCCTAGTACTTGAACTGGCATCTAGGAGCACATTCTTTTTGGAGGGATACCTTGCTCAGCCTAGATAGGGGGAAGGGCCTTGGTCTTGCCTTGAACTGAAGTGTCAGACTTTGTTGACCCCCCCATGGGGAGGTGGGGTGGAAGGAAGTTGGAGGAAGCGGGAGGAGGGGTTGGGAGTAGGAACAAGGATAGCCATGTAAAATGAGAAAAAAAAACTATATTAAAAAATTCTTAATAAAAAAGAGAAAAAAGTTATAAAGGATAAAACAAAATAATGAATAAAATTAAACAGTAATAAAATTTAAAAAAAAATATGCATGCCATGGCATCTCTGAGAGTGTATATACATTTAACATTTATGGGCTTCATTTACTTTTGCTAAGAAGAAAGAATAAAAGAAAACTGAACTAATGATATCTATATAAACTTTCAACCTGAAAAAGATTTGGAGAAAACTGCCCTTTAAAGCACTGTGGAGGTGTGTATAAATACTGTGCTGTGGGCTGACGGGGACTCTGTGGACAGGTCCAGGTGTGGTGGTGAGGGCCTACCTGCTCAGAAGGTTCGCTTTGCCCCAAACTGCAATTATATTCCATTACAGACAATTTAATAACAGAACACACATAAAATCAAATACCCGAAATGAGATTTCCAGATTTTCTCCTCCCCAGATATCCATGCCACTATCATACTGTCCAAGGTCATTGAAATACTGTCTGTTCATTGCAAACAATCCTCCAGCCATTGTAGGTGACCTAGAAAAAAAAAGACCACAGCCTGAGCTCATTCAACAGAACCAGTTACCTTTTGTTTACAAAGCTGCTGCGACTCTGGGACACAGTAGATTAGCTGTCATTAGAGAAAAGGTAAACAATAAAAGGACAACGGATAAAAAGGTAACATTTTCATCTAATAGGGAACAAGCTAGGCCACATACTTGAAATTTCTGGATTGCTGGGGCTATATTAAGTATCTGTCATAAGGGCACATTATTTCTAAGTATCAAAGTACTTTTACTGTGACCAAGTTAGAAACTCAACTCAAATGACCAGAATTCCTTTGGATGGGCCTAGTGGAGACACTACAGAAACTGACTCCAGGGCCTGCCATAGATAGACACACTCAGTTTTGAGTTGTCAGCAGGGCTCTCAAGTGGATGACTGTGCCAGCAGTGATATCCACATTAGAGCATTTTTTAGAACTCTAGATGTTTAGAGCTATCATACTTGGCACATGAATAGGGTAGACGGGGGCCACAACTGGCATCTGGTTTGAGCCCAAGGATTCTGTTAACTCCTAAAACACATGAGGGTCTCTCCCTCCATGCGTCCCTTCCCCATAGCAGCCTGCCAACAGTGGACAACGCTGAGGGTGCAGCACCCTGTCCTGCAATGAGAAAAGCCATAGCAGGCACTACTCAAAGGCTTAATCCCAACTTCCAGACATCTGACCTCCTGACCAGGAGCTGGGATTCATGAGTGGGTTCTACAGAAGAGAATACTCAACAAGGACTCTAGAATTGTCTAACAAAAGAGCAGACAGATAAATAATCAGGAAACCAGGAAGGTAAATAAACCACAGAAAAAGAGAAACAGTCTATAACAAAAAGAGATGTGAAAGTTTTAATTATGAAGTTAACAGACTTGAAAACTGCTCCATATACTCAAAGAAAAAAAGAGAAGATTGAAAGCTTTGGAGAAAACTAGATCCTGTAAAAGCTACTTATACACGGACTACACGTGGCTCAGTTGGTAAGGGGACTTGTAGAGCAGGCAGAAATCCCTAGCTTCAATCCCCAATCCTGCATGTATGGCAGTTATATGAGACATGAGCCCCATCTGTCTTTAAAAAAACAAAACAAAACCTATTTATACATGTCTGAAAAACACTTTGAAAGAAAGCATCTTTAAAGGAATTCGAAACAAGACAGTCTAGACTGTATTTGCAACTGATAGTTGCTGGGAAAGAGAAAATCATTTTTTTTTCAATACTGTAACACTGGGTATATCAACCACACCCAAAGCAGGACTCTTTGGGGAGGTGTGGGTATTTTTGTATGTGCTTTGTTTTGTTCTTGAGTTTGTTTTTTAAGAAAGAATATGAAGCTGGATGGGTAGGGAGGGAGATTTTGGAGGAGTTGGTGAGGGGAAAGAATATGACCAAAATATATTGTATGAAAAATTAAAAAAGACTAACATGACTTCTTGTTTGCAACCAAGGTTCCTGAAGGCTGCATCAAGTTACCTTCAGGTTTTGTGCAAAAATAAGAAATACAACTGCATTACACAGTTAAGACTTGGGTCTCATCTCAAAATATCCAACTATGGATACTCAAATATTCCAAAATACAACAAAAAAACACTTCTAGACTCAGACAAAGAGATAAGACCCAGCGCACGGGGGCACCCATACTATCCCAGGAAACATTACCTATTCCCTCTACAAACTACACAGCACTATGGACACTGACAGTTTCTTACTCTAACTCTGGGTTGCGTTTACAGAAAACTATACCGCTTGCTGATCCAGGCACAGTGACGCACACCTTTAATCCCAGCATGCGGGAAGCAGAGGCAGGTGGAGCCAGCCTGGTCTACAGAATGAGTTCCAGGATAGCCGGAAGAGATAAATCCTGTCTCAAAGACAAACAAAAAACAGAAACAAAATTTGTTGTGTTTTTGAGATAGGGTCTCTTTGTAGCACCTAGCTTCATTTTTTCTTTAAACTAGGTAAGTTAAGACCTTTGTCCCTTGCAAAGGAGAAATTTTCCTTAATAGACTGTTCTTTTTCTTTTTATTTTTTTTTTAAGACAGGGTTTCTCTGTAGCTTTAGAGCCTGTCCTGGAACTAGCTCTTGTATCCCAGGCTGGCCTCGAACTCACAGAGATCTGCCTGCCTCTGCCTCCCGAGTGCTGGGATTAAAGGCACGTGTGCGCGCGGCGACTGTTCTTTTCTTAATAGACTCTGTCAACCTCTCTTACCTTATTGGTGCAGTGGCTCCATCAGCTCCTCCCAGCTCAGATACAGGAACTAAATCCCACTTGAAGTGCAGCCCCCAGTTGAAACCTCCCCGCACCACTGGGGATGAGCTGTAGGCAAGTGTGTCAGCACTGATGATGTCGATCACGGGGCACACCACAGTGTGTGGATCCTCAAGGATGACGGCCAGCAAGGGCTGCAACCACATCACATTCACCTCACAGTGGCTGTCTAGGAACACCAGGACTTCTCCTGGGGAGGTGAAGGGAGAAGATGAGGGAGTGGTAACTCATATGACCACCCCCATCAAGAAACTATTCTCAGGGAAAGAATCCTTTGGCCAAGAGTTTTCTCTGGAATATACACTGTCATGGAGAGGCTACAAACTACATGCACGACCCCAACAAGCTGCCAGTTAACTCAGGAGACTCCTCCCTTCCCAGCGACAGCCAGAGCCAATGCGTTCTGGTGGAGTGACATTGGCCAGTTGTGTGGCGTCATTTCACTCGAAGTATCTACGTTACTACACTCCTACCTTAGCGTCCTCAACTGCACTGTCACCAGTAACCACTAAACTATGGCAACTTCCTTGAAAGAGGAGCACGGCCTGAAGGACAGAATACAGACTGCTGTGCCAACCACAGTGGGATACCATCCATACACGTCACCCTTCTCCCCTGGACTGTCCACTGCACTACCTCCAGCTCACTTCTTAAATCCCACGGGCTCTAAGGGATTCACTCAGACTCATCCTGTTATCTTTGCTGCTTATTGATAAAGGTGAACAAGGTTGAGAACTGTTAATTTTGATAAAACTCCAAATTTGAGAAACTTATTATTTCAAAGAGCAGGATTATTCTAAATAAGCACCAGAACAGATTTTACATGACTATAACATAAATTATTGACAAAAAATAAGTTTTCAATGATGACAGCAAATTAGTCACATAGCTCCGTCTGCCCAAAGCTCAATGTGGACATAAAAGGTCTAGCTGTTACCTAACACAGAGTGTTAACACCTCAGCACCATCGGAGCTCGGCAGGAAATGAGGGCAGGGATTCTTTAAGGAGAAATGTCTTCATAGCTTTCCTTAATTCTGAAAGCATTTTTCAGAATTCTGAAAGTACTTTTCCCAAATGAAGCCAAGTCAATTAACTAAATGCAGTAAGGTTCCATCTGGGTACACCAAATTTGCCATAGCAATCTCAAACAGGCTTGAACCTGACAGATCCTATGCCATATCTGAACGACGACAATCATATCATGTAGCAACAGTGACTATGCACTGCAGCAGTAGAGTGGCTCAAATGGCACTTTTCTGCAGCTCACATCTTCAATGACCCAGCACAGCCAACTTCCCTTGGTTAAAGCCCTGGAGAAGTAGGTGTTTCACTCTGACCTAAGGGCACTGGATCTGACTGATCACAGAGGGGCTGCTCTCCTTTCCTGTCTGCTGCTTCAGGTCACAGTAGGTTTTTAAAGAAAAAGTTCAAATTCCAACCAAGTCCAGCAAGTGCCCAGCGTTGATTATCACAGACCCTGGGGGATAAGGCCGATCTGAAGCAGAGCTGTTCACAGCAGGAATAAGTCGGCATTACTCTGAGGGAAAGACTCAAGTCAGGACTTCTCAAGCTGCCCTCAGGACTCCTGATATGCTCATGAGCTGCTTTATTTTTTTTTAAGGTTTATTTATTTATTATCTTCCTGCATGTATGCCTTCAGACCAGAACAGGGCATCAGATCTCATTACAGATGGTTGTGAGTCACCATGTGGCTGCTGTGAATTGAACTCAGGATCTTTGGAAGAGCAGCCAGTGCTCTTAACCACTGAGCCACCTCTCCAGCCCCCTTATGAGCTACTTTAAACAGATTCGCTTGTATTTTTTCCTCCCCCTCCCCCCAAGACAGGGTTTCTCTGTGTTTTGGAGCCTGTCCTGGAACTAGCTCTAGTAAACCAGGCTGGCCTTGAACTCAGAGATCCCCCTGCCTCTGCCTCCCAAGTGCTGGGATTAAAAGCATGCACCACCACCGCCCAGTTTTCATGTATATTTTTTAAAGGAACATGTTTTAGTCAAGATCAATAAAAGAAAATCAGGAATGCCAACCTAGTAACTCTATTTTTCAAGGTAAGCATAAAAAGAGATAAGACAGGTATGAAAATACATGTCTATAATCCCAGTACTTGGGAGGTAGAGGCAGGGACCCTGAGTTCAAAATCATCCTCGGCTACACAAGTATGAAGCCAGCCTGGGATCAAAACAAAGGGCCACAGAAGAAGCACCAGAGTCACTGGTGTGTATTCCCTACAGAAGACTGGCTCTGTAGCTGTTCTTTGCTTTTAGGGTGAGATTAGTGTGTAGCACATGATGGAAAGGCCTGAAAACCTCCCAGGAACAACCACCCCCTTCATGCTATAGGAGTTTTAAACACTGTTTATAGCTATGGAAACCAATCCTATTTACCAAGTTAAATCCTGACTCTGACTCTGACTCTAAAGAGGTACACTCCATACTAACAACTATTAGCATAACTCAAGTCAAGCAGTTTGGAGTTTGTTTCTATATGAGATTTTTAGAAGTTCAGTTACTTGTCAGCTTGGACTTTGCTTCTTATGAGTGAGCAGTAAGATCAGAAACCTATTTTAGAGGCCAATAATTAACCAAAAGGCCACTATAGAATCAGGCCAGTGAGTGCTCTAGCAGCAATTTTTGTACTCTGTGCTTTAGGGCGGCAGGTCAGAGTTACACAATCTTTCCAAAGTGAACAAGCTCCTTCATTCCTTTGGGCAACAGTCAATAAAACATGGTGTAGTGGACTGAGTGAGAATGGCCCGCAGGCTCATGTTCAAATGCTTGGTTCCCACTGGAACACTTCAGGTGTGTCATTGGAGGTGTGAGGTCTCAAACACCATGCCAGTCCATGCCTAATTAGTTCTGTCCCTGTCTTGTGCTTAGGGATCAGATGGACGCTTTCAGCCCCTGCGCCAGTGCGACAACAGCCCTAGACTAACCCACTGAGCCTGTAAGCCCTAAACTAATACTTTCTTTATAAGCCGCCTTGCTCATGGTGTCTCTTCACAGCAACAGAACAGTAACTAAGACATATAGCTTTTTGTGGACCACTGTAGGTGTCCACCAAAACAGAGTCATGGCACAGATATACCTGTAGCATGGGCTGCTCCGATCATTCTTCCCCGGATCAATCCCTCACGTTTCCTATTTCTTATGACCTTGACTTTTGCAGGCAGGTATCTTTGGATGTACTCATCTAGCTCTCCTTTTAAATCATCTGAAAAGAACAGTTCCATAATTACTCACCATATAAAACATCCACAAAGGCATCTTATAACCATTTCTAAAATCATATCTGCCATGTAAGCCAAGATCTACAAGTTATCAAAAAAATGTGTTAGACTCATTGTAAAATATCCTAGCATCCTCTGTAGGAGAAAAAAGAAACCCAGAATGAAAGTTGGGACTAGCCAAGAGGAAAAGCTGCCTTAGATGTGTGTTTCCATAGACAATATCTGAAATGAAGTCATACATGAAGGCTCTTGACTGCAATTCAATGTCCGCTTAGGCTTGATAGTAAACTTGAGGCCAGCCTAGAATAAAGAGAGGCTCTTGTCTTTAAAAAAATAAAATAAAAAAGAAAGATAGAAGAAAGAAAGAAAGGAAGAAAGAAGATAAAAGAAAGAAAGAAAGAAAGAAAGAAAGAAAGAAAGAAAGAGGAAGGGAAAGGGGAAGGGGAAGGGAAGGAAAGGAAAGGAAAAAAAACCAGATGTGGTGTTGCACACCTTTAACCCCAGCACTTGGGTAGCAGAGACAGGTAGATTTCTTGAGTTCAAGGCCAGCCTGGTTCTACATAGTTCTAGGACAACAAAAACTACAAAAAAAGACCCTGTCTCAAAAACAATGAAAACAAAACAATCAAACAAAAAGCTAAGTTTTGATGTCTATGAACCTTCCCAAAATTTCTCCCATAAAGTTTCTATATTTACCCAGGTTTAAGTATTACGGTCTCATGGGTTGTGTTCATTCATCAGTTCATTCATATACTGGTATGCAGCTCTACTGAAGCTGTAGGTCTAAAAAGTTGTTGAGTGCATGGAAAACGTTTCCGTGCCACCCCATCACTGGATCTGCAGTGCTGTGGTTCAGGGAAAAGGCTGGAAGCCTGGCAGATTAAGAATAACTTCAACTCTACCTACTCAAAATTATCCTAAACAAAAGTCCCGTACTCTTCCATCTCCATCTCTGTAAAATGGATCCCCACGCAGCTTAAGGGAGGTTGAGAGGTGAATGGGAGCAAACAATAGAAAGCTTTTCTTTGCTAAAATCGACAGTTAAAGAAAGGCATGTAAAATACATAGTGATTCTAAGAAAACTGGCATTTAGATACCATTTAAGAGCTTTGTGAATGCAGTCTACTCTGGGAACGACTGACGTAGCAGACTTACTCTAGGAGCATGGCACACGGCACTGTGCCAAGTAAAAAGTGCCAGTTCCAAAAGGGCACATGCTGCATATCCATCTATATTACACTTTTGAAATGACAAAGAGGTCCCCAGACACCAGGGAAGGGTCAAAGGGACACAAACACAGAGCACCTGGGGAGCACCAGGACTGCTGGGTGCTCAAGACTCTGCTGGTGCTCACAACAATCTTCATGCAGGATAAACTGACACTTCTCCATTGTGGAATTCTGTTTTCTACACTGTATTGTGAGTATAAAAGAATGAATGTGGGAAATTGGTCAAAGGGCAAATGGAAGTCTTGAGAACTTCCTATGAATTTGAGCTTAATCCATAATGGACATTTTTAAAAGCAAGCCAAGGGTAAATTCCCCAGGGGCAAATCTGGTAACACTGTGAACAGACTGTAAAGATAAAGGACTTCAGCAAAACCATTCTCTAACCAGTGGGCAGGCTGAAGCTCAGCTGTGCCTGCACCAGTGACTAGGCGCCCTGATGAACTGTACCCACTCACAGCAACACTTACCAAAGTCACTGTTGTCATCCACAAGGATGATCTCATGAAGAATGTGTGCTGGCGTGCGGTCCACAACACTGTGCACAGTCCGCAGCAAGGCAGAGAAGGCTTCGTTGTAGAAACAGATGACAACACTAGCAGTTGGGAGGTCAGTCGGGTAGGACTTTCTTCTACACCTTTAACAATCAAAACAAGAAAATCTGGTATTTTAGGAGGCTCAGATGTCTTGGCCCATTTCCTGCCATTTTGCTCATCTTCTTTCTGGTATGACAGCAGGTTGTAGGCATTCACGAAAACACTGCGACTAATTCTTTGCTTTACATCACATTAGTAATGTTGTCTTTAAAATGTGCTTTCTTCTCTTTGGTAGAAGTTACATAGTGAGTTGTTTTTCATGAAGTTACTGCATGTGTAGCACTCTGAAGCTGATACCCAGCTTCTTAATGAGGTTTCAAGTGGAAACACAATAATAAAACTTCGTCTTTGAAAGTTTTAGTTTTTGCCTAATAACGTACAAAAGATTTGAGTAAACTGTGATATTCTCAGATGACAGAAAAGCTTCCATGGACACAGTAGCTACTTGATAGGTGGTTTTGAGCAACAACAAAGTTACTGAAGAGTAAATTCCAAGGTCCTGACTTCTTTCCTTCAGCCTCACAGCCCTCCAGTGTCTGTTCCACCTAGTGACTGCCTCGTGCAAACTCCTACCATAGCCAGAGTGGATGAGGGTCGGTCCCTTCAACATGCCACACATACTTCAGAACCCTCTCTGTGCTGTACCTACAGGTGAAAGGCCTCCTGGCTGCAGAGACCACTCCACCAGTCCCATCTGAGCCCTACCTAATGCTACTGCAATAACTTCTTTCCTCACCTGCCCAAAACAGACTGAGCCCTGTGAACCTAGGGCTACATCTTATTCTGTCCAAGGCCTTTGTATTGCATGACAAACTGAAGGTGCTCAACAAACATCTGTCTGTGCAACGACTGATTAGAAGAACAAAAGGCCATTGAAAGAAAGAAACTAATAAAATACAAAACAATACGAAAAAAGTAGTAATTCACTAGTTTTAATCCCTTGTTTCCATAAGTGCAATAATGATTTTTTTTTTTTTGAAGTCTAGGTTCAGGTTATTGAGTTGGAATGAACGAAGACACACAGCCAGCTCTAAGACTGCATCATTACACTCGCAGACCACAGTGCTGCAAGGGTGGTAGGGGTGGGATCAGGTCACTGTTCTGGCATGACAAATACTAAGTGCAAAATCTGGACACTGCCCTTGCTTGCTCTCACTAGGGATAAAGCACTGTCACTGGAACTCATCAGAAGCCAAAAGGACCATACTCTGCATTCCTGGTGTCTGGCACATCTCTGTGGTATCCCAAGCGGTTACTAATAAGCATATTAAAGGCATGTTTCTGGTAACCCAGGTCTCTCAATTCCTGATCACGTTCATTGAAAATCATGCCTGAAAGAGAGAAGTTACAGTCAGTGTCTTGGGTCTGGAAAGATGATCAACAGCCACTATGATGTGATGATCCCCAGAAGCCTGATTTCGCAATTGTATCAGATTATATCACTGTATTTTTCAAATTGGCTGTCTGCAGTTTCAGGTTTCAAATGTGTAAGCTGAGGCTGAAAGATTCTTATCAACTTAATGCAAACTAAGTGTGACCTAAGCATGAGAACTTGCTCAAAACCATTATTTTTAAGAACACTTTACTGTGGCTGGCACACGGAGCTTTAATACCAACAATCAGGAGACAGAGGCAGGCAGATCTGTATCCTGGACTACATAGGGAATTCCAGGCCAGCTTAGATACATAGTGAGACCCTGTCCCAAAATAACAAATAAATGAACTAACAAAAACCCCACATTTTACTACATTCACAAGACAAATTGTCTGTGACCAGAGAAATACTGATAATGTTCCCTATGAGAAATAGATTATTAAATCCCAATGGACTTCAGTATGCCCAAGTCTCATCAAGTTTATATATGAACCCATGCCCCATAAAAATTCACACATAAGCTTTTGTATAAAAAGGGTTCCTAAGAGCTTTGGTTCAGACTAAACAATAGCTGAAAAGGTCAGCAGCTCCTGTACAGATCTAATGGGAACAATAAATAGGACATTTCTAATCCTGAGCATCACGATTTAAAGAGAACAGACATTACTTACCGAGTTCAGAGGAGGATTTTGAGAGGCCTTTATCTGAATCTTCAAGGTGATTATTCATCAAATCATCCATTCGGTTTGCTCTAAACTGTGGATCTAATATTCGACCTGGACTTCGAGTAAAACGTGGGTAGAATTTTTTGGGAAATGGTCCATGGGGCCCAGACCCCTTGATGGGCACATTTTTAAGGGGCTGAGTCACTTCACTGAAGTTGAAATAAATGAAAAGCAGAACTGTCCAGGTAGCAGATGTAAAAAGGCACCCATAACAAAAATATCGAACTGTGACACTTCCCATTATAGACCTAGCATAGCTCAAGGGCCATTTTCAGTTTCCTAAAAAAGAAAGAAAGGCATGTTAGAGCCTCCAGCACACTCCTCAGTCAGCTACTGAACACCCTCACTGATTTCCAAACCACCCTAACTACCCACTGTGAACATCTGCTCACTTAGAAAAACAAAGCAACAAAAGAGCTGACATATCCACCCGCCCTGTTAATGAACACTACTTCACCTTTGCTCTGGGCCGCTTTTCGTTTGGCCACTGTTTTTAAGTTTTAGCTTTGCGTGACTAGAATACAAGAACTGCACGTGCCATCACAGCACAAGAAGTCTCTTCCAGATACCAGGAGTGGCAGCTCATAATCCCAGTACTTGGGAGGCGAAAGCAAAATGACCATCTGAGTTCACGGCCAGCCTGTGCTACATAGTGAATTCCAAGCCTGGTCTATAAAGTGAGACCTTGACTCAAAAATAAAAGACAGGGCCCTTCCCCACCTCTACCCTGGGGAAAACAAACAAACAAACCCATAACCAGTCTGAAAAGGAAAGTCCTACTTTCTACCCCAGAGCCGTCTGGTCAGAACTGACCTAAACTAACCCAGTTCTAACAGTGCTGTCGAGAAGGAGCTGCAGTAACTGTTCTCTCTCCTTAGGGCTGTCTTGTAAAACAAACTCAGAACAAAATATCATGTCAAGTAGCAGCACACATAAAACATTCCAAGTGAACTGAGGATGAGACGCTATTATCAGAAACCCGTGCATATAGGTGTAGGCACGAAGATGCAACTTATAAATTACTTATTTCTACAGCCATTTAAAAAAATCATCCCTAAAAAAACAAGACAAAGCAAATTAATTAGTAAACCTCACTTTAAACATTAAGCTTCCTGAACAAGATTATGCCCTCAGCCTAGATGGTAAACAACTGTTCTGAAATTATTTGCCTACTAAGACCTACTAGATATTTCACAAGTCCACTTAAAAAACAAAAGTAATTAAAGTAAAACCAAAATGATAATACTAATAAAAGAGGGTAGTGACTAAATGGACTTAGGGTGCCAATTAGCTTCCCTGTCAGCTGGAAGTACCTTTAAAACTAAATACATACATGAAAAATGTAAGTGCAAGGAAATGCTTTGGAAGAAAAGTTCAAAAAGCCTTCATCAGGAAAAACAAGTCACAATTTGCAACAGCATGGGAAGAGAGAGTATAGTGAGCTTTAAGGCAAACTCTGAGTTCCAACTAAGAAAGATATTTTAACTGCCTTGGCTCAGGATCAGGCAACTAATAAGCAAACAGCACATCCGACGATGGATGGCGATACAGACGGAGACCCACATTGGAGCACCGGACTGAGTCCCCCAAGGTCCAAATGAGGAGCAGAAGGAGGAAGAACATGAAAAAGGAAATCAGGACCGCGAGGGGTACGATCACCCACTGATACAAGGGGACTGATCTAATGAGAGTTCACCAAGGCCAGTTGACTGGGACTGAGCAAGCACGTGATCCAGCCAGATTTTCTGAATGAGGCCGGATTCTCTGAATGTGGCTGGCCCGGAGTCTTTCTGAAAAGCCATTGACAATGACACTGGGACTTGTTTCCTCTGCATATACTGAATTTTTGGGATCCAGTCTGTTTGGATGCTCACCTTCCTGGACCTGGAGGGAGGGGGGAGGAGCTTGAGCTACCCATGGGGCCGGGGCGGGAGACCCTGACTGCTCTTGGGGATGAAGAGGGAGGAGGGAAGGGAGTGGGGGGAGTGGGAGGGTGTTGGGAGGAGGGGCGGAAATGGAGACTTTTGTATTTTAATAAACTTTGAGAAAAAAAAAAGCACAGCGTGTTCAGAAGGCCATGGAATGCTGAAGTCAGGCCATAGGCACGTCGCTTTAATCCATGTCAACTATGTAACAAAACTAACATTTAAACACAGCTCTCCTCAATCCACACATAGTAAGTTGACATGAACATCAGCCAAGCCCTTCACAGTCCCAGGATACAAATGTCCCAGCAAAACAACTCTATACCACAGGTGGACACTGATGTTTGCATCTCTTCAGCCTGATTTTCAGCATCCTTCAAAGGGTATGGAGAGCGCTGTTGTAAAGATCTAGGTTTACTCTGGATGTGGCTGCACACTTTCAGTCCTAGCTCTACGAAGGACAGACAAGTGGATCCCTGTGTCTTGCTGGCCAATTAGCCTAGCACACTTGGACAAGTTCTAGGCCAATGAGAACCTTGAAAAAAAATCGCCTGGGAAGTATTTTTCTAACAGCTTCACCATAGACAACCCAGTTTTCCTGGCCTTCGAGCTATGCTGTAAATTTCTGCTTTCTAGGCAACACTATACAGATTGATATCATTCCCCTTTCAATCCAAAAACCTCCACTGCCGCAGAAATAATTCAGTTAAAGCAATTGCTGCACAGGTGTGAGGACTTGAGTTTGATCCATGGCACCTCTGTAACAAAAGACCAGAAACTATGGAAAGCTTTGAGGGTTTTTTTTCTTCCTTCCTTCCTTTTAGATTTATTTGTTTTAGTTTATGAGTATTTTGCCTCCATGTATCTACGCATACCACACGCATGTCTGATGTCTATGAAGGCCAGAAGCGGGCATCAGATTCCATGGAACTAGACTTGGGGAAAGGTTGTGAACTACCATGTGGATGTGGAACTCAAACCTGGCTCATTTGTAATACTCTTAATCACTGAGTGTGGCATGCTTTGTAATCCCAAGGCTTAGAACGTGAAGACAGGTAGATTCCTGAGATATGGCAGCCAGCTGGACTAGTTGTTAAAGCCCAGACCCCAGTAAAAACCTCTTTAAAAACAAGTTGGCCCCCACCCCACCCTGCCACTTGTCAACATCAATTTTTGCTGCCCAAATATTCTTGGATGTGTGGCATTCCACTGGAACACAGATGACTTATCAGGGGCTACATTCTTAGAGAAATCTGTCTCCTCCTCTCCCAGCAGCTAACCATTGACAAAAGCACCTCAGATAGGTGTAGAATCTCATGCCTACTTCCTCTTTCCATGTTGCCTACTTCCTCTTTCCATGTGGGATTTGGTTTGGTTTGGACTTAACAAGCCTTGTGCACGCTGCCATAAGCACCGTCCAGGGGACACTAGTTCCTTTCGGTCATCACTTCAGTTGAACTCTTTCCACTGGCTTCTTTCCACAATGATCCCTTGGCTTTGGCAGTAGGGGTGTTATATACACGTTCCCTTGAAAGCTAAACATTCTGTAGTATTTTATTCTTTGCACATGACCAGTTGTGAGTTCCCATTTACAAACAGAAGCTTCTCTTTGACTGAGGTTTTTGTCCCACCTGGTTCTGCAGTTGTTAAGTTCCAAAGAATCACACAGAGGCCTACATTAATTATAAACTGATTGGCCCAGTAGCTCAGGCTTCTTATTCTTTTTTTATGATTTATTTATCTTTATTTTATGTGCATTGGTGTGAAGGTGTCAGATCCCCTGGAACTGGATTTTCAGACAGTTGTGAGTTGTCATGTGGGTGCTGGGAATTGAACCCGGGTCCTCTGGAAGATCAGTCAGTGCTCTTAACCACTGAGTCATTTCTCCAGCCCCCCCCCTTATTAATTCTTATAACTTGTATCAGCCCATAATTCTTGTCTGTATTAGCCACATGGCTTGGTACCTTTTTCAGCATAGCAGTCACATCTTGCTTGTTCTGTGTCTGGCTTCCTATGTGTCTGGGTGACAACTGCAGACTGAAACTTTCACCTTCCCAGAATTCTCGTTGCCCCACCTCTACTTCCTGCCTGGCTACTGGCCAATCAGCATTTTATTAAAAATAATACAAGTGACAGGATAAAAGACCATTGTCCCACAGCACTTCTCTGGTAAGGGGGCTGAGACGTTCCTTAATCTCTGGGTATAACAGAAAATCATCAGGAGTCAGTTTAGTATGTCCACGAGCAGAGCAACCCCTGCCATAGGTTCTCAGCCAACAACGGTGCCAGGTATGGTCCTTAAATCCAATAAGAAAGTGGCTGGTTACCCCATGACGTTTGTGCTACTGCTGCACCGGTGGGCATGTCATGCAAGGCCAACCATGACTTTACCTGGAAGAGTTCACAGCTGGTATGTCTGGTACCTACTTTTTTTTTCTTTTCCAGAGCATAGAAAGCAGCCTCAACATTTTTATGAAAGCTAGCTAGTTGTGATAAAGTCTCCGGGTCAGTAGCAGCTGATTTCCCCACGTTCTATGACACAAATATGTAACGTCTTAAGTAATAGGGTATCACTCAGGTTCAGGAAGGTAACCAGGAACAATGACAATAACCTGTAATGAAGGTCTCTGGAACTTCTCATTTCAAAAGAAGAAATAATTACTGACACTGGAGTTCTCATTTGTTTGCTTCTAGTAGGTTTCTCATAAGGTTATTGTTACCACTAAAGGATAATTTCATTTTAACACATATTAATTTTTCTGTATGTGTATAGATGCACTTTTTGTTTGTTTGTCTGTATGAGACAGGGTCTCTCTACATAGCCCTGGCTGTCCTGGAATTCACTATGTGGACACCAGGCTGATCTCACAGAAATCCGCCTACCTCAGCCTCTGGTGTGTGCCACTATGGGTACAAATTTACTTGAGTTTTGTAAAAACTATAATTTCTATCGTTGTGGGATCCCTATGCCTTTTTTGGAGGTGGGGTGGAGAATATCTATGAACTCAGATGCAATGGGCTAGTTCTTAGAAGAGCACTGCTCTGGAAAACCAGGCAGTCTGGACAGCTAACCGTCCTCCTTCATAAAACATGAAGGTATACCTTCAGAAAAACATTTCTACCAGTCCTTTGAAGAGGATGAGAAAACAAGGAGCATTCTCCACCTCACTTTCAATAATTTAACACCAAAACCAGGATAGCTGAGATTTGTTTTTTCCTAGATACAGATCTCCACATGGGTCAGAAGGACACCGATCATGCTCTTAAGGACTGCATGCTGGCTTTTTCCTCTGTCTAGAACACTTTTCCTTGGGTGATTTCACAGCTGCCTCCTTTACCTGTTTACTTCCTATT